TTGATGGAACTTGAATGGACAGCTTCTGAGTGAGAGCTTCGATTAATTTTAGTTGAGCTGCTTCATTCTGAACTTGCTGCTGCTGCAAGATAGATTTGAGATCGTCCAGAGAGATAGACATTGTAATTGGGTTGTAATTAACACAGTCAAAAATGTTATATAGCTGCGCTGAACAGAATAAAAACTGTCGTCGTTTGCTTGTTATAACTGCAATGAATTAAGGTAAAACCCCGTCGCCAATTTGTTATAACTGTAGGGAATTGAATGAAGACGTTTTCACCTTGCTCTGTCTGCGCCTGAACTAATCTGCCTATCTGCTTGTCGTACCTTCCGATTTAGTAAAGCACGCAAATATCAAAAGACAAAGGCTGGACTGTGACTGTGTATTGAAGTGCAACAACGACAAAGAAAGCCATGGTATTTATACATTTTACAACAATATGGACAGCTAACAGCATTTGAAATAATTTATCTTAATAGCCAATAACAAAGTGCGTGAGAGATGATAATATACCATATGTGCGAGATTGACAGTCAATAACAAAATGTGTGGGAATGATAATATACCATATATACAAGATTAGCAGTCAATACCAAAATGTGTGGGATCCTATCAGATATATGTATGCTTATTACTTGCCTCTCGTTCACTTGTGTTCAGTGTTTGTACATTTCTCTGAAATTCTCTGTTCTGCACCACTGAGTTGGAAACAATTCATTCGCCTATTGTATTGATTCGCGCTTATAATATCTCCACATAATACCATTTTGCAGAATGGGATGTGTATTTTTACTCCTTAGGCAACACAGAAGTAGACATTCCCGGTGTCTTCATCAGGGTTCGAACCTCGGTGGGCGCGTGCTGCTGCAGAGTCCCAAACTAGGACGGGCGAAACAGCTGTCCAGTACTCCCAGGTTATTTCAGTGGTTCTCTAACTGATGTCAGCTCATGATGAAATCCTCTATACAATCATCTGTTAGAGTCTATCAGAACTGGTGGAGTTTGATTAAACTGTTGGTAAAAATTCAAACGATTCCTCCTTCAGTTTCTTCTTAAAAGAAAATTACCCAACCACATGGATATTCAAGCAGGTAGCACAAGTATGCATAAAAGTAGATGTTAATAAAAATACTCACTATTTGAAAATGCGAGCAACAGGTGGTTATTTTTAGATGGGAGATCCAGACAAAGAGTTACAAATGCTAGATACCAAAAAGTAGAGCAACACTGTTTCAGTGGGAACTCACAATTTTTGATGTGGTTGTGTTCTCTGAGCTGGATGGTTAATTTGCGAAGCTTTCATCACCCTACTGGGTGACATCTTCAGCGCATACTTCAATTTCTTGAAGTGAGCTTTTAGATTTCTCCACGAGTTTATTAATCATCTCTCCTGGTCGGTGACTTTGGACGTTGTCATTAGTTGTTTATGTGTGTTTTCACACCTAGGCTACTTGTATTGGAACTGGTTGTTTCTTTGACTTGAACTTTGACCCTTTGTGTGTGAAGTTTCTTTCTTATCGGTTGATAAATTTTGTCTATCTCTATGTGTCTATTGATTGACGATTCACTGGAAAGCCACGCGGGCTTCTAGAAATTCTCTAGCATTCTTGTTGTTTCGTCTGTCTAATATTTCAACGTTGTCCCAGTCGAACTGATGTCCGTGGATTGATGTCTTTTAGGAATTGACGTCGTACACAAGCCAACAAAGTCACTTCACTCAATTCTATGTCAACCAAAAGACTCAACAGCGAACGAAGATAAAACCAACATCATCTACAAAATAAATTGTAACAACTGCGGAAAGCACTACATTGGTCAAAGTGGACGTCCCCTTTGTCTTCGTATCCACGAACATAAGCTAGCCGTCAAAAGACATGATATCCACTCCCTCGCTCATATCACTACATACAGATAACCACGGAGATCAATCAATTCAACTGGGACAACGTTCAAATACTAGACAGACGAAACAACAAGAATGCTAGAGAATTTCTAGAAGCCCGCGTGGCTTTCCAGTGAATCGTCAATCAATAGACACATAGAGATAGACAAAATTTATCAACCGATAAGAAAGAAACTTCACACACAAAGGGTCAAAGTTCAAGTCAAAGAAACAATCAGTTCCAATACAAGTAGCCTAGAAGGTGTGAAAACACACATAAACAACTATTGACAACGTCCAAAGTCACCGACCAGGAGAGATGATTAATAAACTCGTGGAGAAATCTAAAAGCTCACTTCAAGAAATTGAAGTATGCACTGAAGACGTCGCCTAGTAGGGTGATGAAAGCTTCGCAAATTAACCATCCAGGTCAGACAACACAACCACATCAAAATCACCCACCTGAGTTACAAATCTTCTCTATCATATCTGAACTCACAATTCCACACCAATATGAATTCAGAATATTCCTTACATATAAGGAACGAATTAGTTATTTCACAACCTCTGACTTGTTTGTTTTTTTCTCTCCTGAGCCTTATACAATACACAGAGCAGAGCGAATATGCATTCGCTTAAGAGAAACCAAAGAGGCCACTATAACTTCGTCACAAGATATACTAGGAAGAAAGAGACGACAAACGGTCACTACCAGACTGAAGAGTCTAGCCATTCGGTTGCATTTAGGATTGATTTTAAAGAGATGGGGAGGGGAGTGTCGGTGGGCACAGCAGCAGAATGCTTGCCAGCCATGCATGTGGTCCGGGGTTCGAACCCCGGCTACAGACGCACTCCTTTACCCCCGCCAAGCCAGTAATAGGACTGGTAAAGAGGGATGGTTGGGCATGAGGAAGGCTAGCAACCCCATCCCGTAAAGAAACACAAAAAATATCACTGCTACCGTAACTTCAAGCCTGTAACGTGAATCCTTATGTTCCACTGGGGATGTAAAAGAGTAAAACAAAAATTAGATGGATGCTGGTAATAAATGGGTTCTAGGAGGAAGAAAACACGTGTGATGTAGAAAGGACAGTTTCTAGCTGAATTCCTGAAGGGGTACCAGTTCTCCTGAGGCTTTAAGTAAATTTTAATGGCAAGTTCCAATGTTCATCGGACCTTAGTTTATGGTTTTCTTCCAATTACCTTCAAACATCAATCAGATAGTATCTTGACATTTCAATGACTGTCTCTACATTTATTCATCGGGCAGTGTATTATGCCTATAATTTTTAAGAAAGTCGTAACTTTAATCACTCGCTCTAATCTAGGTGGATGATATGTGATGTTCAAAACCGTATTTCACTGGCTAGGAATCGAATGTCTAATTCAATGAATGAATTATAACTTCGTTTAGTAGTAATCGATGTGATAAATGGCAGCTTTAGAATTCAAGAAATCACATCGAATGTATAGTATTCAGGATTTGAAGAAATATAAATTGTGTTAAATTAACGCACTTCACGACAGTGTTACACTTTTTGAAATAATAGAAAAGATTTGTAACTCAGGTGGATGATTTGGAATTGATAGTGTTCTCTGAGCTCCTTGGTTTAATTGCGGAGCTTTCATCGTCTTTCTGGACGACATCTTCAGCGCAGTTTAAAATCCCAATCAATAGAAAACGGTCAATAAATATCTAAAGATGGTTACCGGGAGACTCATGAAGAAGTTTAAATCATTTCACTTTATCCTAAATACTGCGCTGAAGATGTCGTCCAGAAAGACGATGAAAGCTCCGCAATTAAACCAAGGAGCTCAGAGAACACTATCAATTCCAAGTGTTACACTTTCTCAAGATTTTTTAAAACTTGCGCATACAGGCCTTTTGTTACCGAAGGAAATGAATTTAATTGAATGAAATTTACACATCTGTGCACTCAAAACCTAGACTGTATGATCTGTCTAGAATATATGATCATTAGATTGTGAAGTGTGCAGTTGTTGTGATTACACCCCTAGTCCCATAGTGCATTTATAATCGAAAAAAATTACATCAAACGATTGAGTTAGGTGTCAAATGTCACAGTAAGGTATGAGAGGTACAAATGCATAAGAATGAAAAAGAATTCAAAATATGAAAATGACAAACATTCAGTGAAGGTAATATGAAGTGGAAGTTAGTTTATTTACAAGTGTTCAGGATTCTGGAAGCATGATAGTTTATTGATATAAGGATAAAACTTGGGCATTGTGGTGGTAGAGTATAACTCTATTAGGGATAGAATTTTTATTTTGATAAAATCATACACTAAGTAATATTTACTGATGATTACGTTTCGAGCACAAATTATTGCTATTCATAATCATATCAAGGTACTCACATAACTATACCTTGATTCATTTATATACATGAGTAAAAAATTGATTAGACATAAGAATAAAATCAATAAAAGATAAAGTACATTCAGAAACAATAATATTAGTGTTATAAGTAAAATACAATAAGACGGGAAATAAGATGTTTTTATAGTAAAATAAATAAGTTACTTTTAGAATGGCATGATGTGAATTGAATATATACACTTAAACATTATTTACTATCCTCTGATTTGACTGGTGGTAATAATATCTTCCATATATCTGGTATTTGCATTAAGTCATTTCATTTGCATGTGTTGGGTGTAGACTCGATGAACCAGGCAGGATTCAGTAATCAATCTCCCTTGCGCTCCACCCACCTATATTACTCTTTAGAATTTTAGACCCTCTCACATCCTGTTGTGTGGTAATGCATGCATTGCAATTCCATTATGGATACAATTTTATTTTGATAAATCACACAGTGTTGTACAGTAAGTAATATTAACTGATAACGTTCCCAGCACAAACTATTGTTCACAATCATATCAAGGTACTCACACAACTTTTTTTCCTTCATTTATCCATAATGGAGTTGTGCTCTACCACAGTGCGCAAGTTTTATTCTTATATCAATGCATTGCAATTGCTTAGTTTTCTTCTAAATTACCCTTCTTCGTGCGGTTAGTCAGTCTACATCTAGCTAAATTCTTGAGTTCTAATAATCTCACTACTCCTGCTTAATCTACTAATTTTGTGGTGAGAGCTGGCTGCTAGCCAAATTGGTAGACAGTAATTTACGTCAATGTTTACGTCCTCAATTATTGGTCGTGAGAAAAATATGAACAAAGACTGATTCAACAACCAACCACAACAGACTTTGCGTAGGCGGATACAGTTAGCATATAGATGATGTGACATTCAAGAAACAGCCACAAAGAAATGAAAGATTAACTTTCAGTGAGAAATAACCAATCAGTAGACTGTATTTCTGCTAACTATAATCTATAATGATGTACATGAAAATCTATAAATATGTGTTGATTTCCCTTAATAAACGATCTGTTGCTTAGCCCTTGTCTTCTGTTGTTACAGTTTGACTGATATATGTAGTTGACTTAACTCATAGTCACTGCAAGATATTTTGTAAATTACATTATTTTGTCTAATTGAGTGGACCTACATGGTTCTTTTAACTTACAGAGCTTGTCCGACCTGAGTGAGTTTGTAGGTTTGAGTACCACCCTAATTCCTGCTTTATTGAGAATCTTACGTAGGAAGGGTCTCAGATGTGCTCCCCATCCTCCCTTATATGATAAAACTGCTGTAGATGTCTTATATTCTTTCTTATTTATGTTATCATTACTAGTTTCACCATTATTTTGCACCAACGCAGGATAGTTTTGAACACATGATATAGTCACGATTCAAGAGGAAATGCTGATGAGGAATATTTCAATTTTTCATAAGAAATAATTTTATACAAGAATTATTTTACAATTTTCTGTATTTAAAAAAAATAATTATTTACAGATTGACCAAGAATTCTATCCGTACATTACACGTGCATACGTTTATCCCTGATATGCGTCGTTTACATTCACATGGTAAATTATCGTTAAGACGTTGTTTGTCTTATTGGACTGATGAACACCAAAAAGCTGTAGCAGTGAGTTGATTTAATTTCTGCATTTTATGTAGTTTTCATAGTTTGATACTCTTCAATTCTTTGAATGAAATAAGAACAGTGATTTGTACAGAACAATATGGTACCATCATTGTTTCCCTTATGGGTAAATTTTGTTTTGATAAAGTCTCACAGTGTTATACAGTAATGTTTACTGATGACAAAGTTTCGAGCACAATTTATTGCCACTCATCATCATATCAAGGTACTCACACGACTTCCTAAATTCATTTATATACTTCCATTGTTTTTCTCTTGATTTTCACTTGATTTGATTGGCGGTAGTATTTTCCATATTTCGGGTCTGAGTGGTGAATCATTCCTATTGTATGTGTTGGGTGTAGACTCGATGAACAAGGATTCAGTAATCAACCGGTAGGTCAGGGGTAGTCAGATTGTCAGAGCATAAGAATTTAGCTAAGGTAAGAATGGTTGACCCTACCCGAGAAGATAAGTAATTTAGAATAAAGCTCAGCAATTGCACTGCGTGCATTAACACACAACCACACAATATGGTGGGATATGGTTACAATTCTAAAAAGTACTCTAGGTAGGTGGAGAGAGAAGTTGATTACTGAATCCTGCCTGGTTCATTGAGTCTACACCCAACACATGCAATAGGAATGATTCATCACTCATACCCGAAATATGGAAAATACTACCGCCAATCAAGTCAAGTGAAAAATAATGGAAGTATATAAATGAAGTTAAGAAGTCGTGTGAGTACCTTGATATGATGATGAGTGGCAATAAATTGTGCTCGAAACCTGGTCATCAGTAAACATTACTGTATAACACTGTGAGACTTTATCAAAACAAAATTTACCCATAATGGAATTACACTCTACCACAGTGGCACAGTGGTTAGGACTCTCGCCGACCATGCACATGGTCCGAGGTTCGATCCCCTGCCGACGCACACCTGATATCTATGGTCGGCCTGCAAAATTTGGGCTACCGATATCCATGCTGAAAATTCCATACTTGTACGTGTGGAATGAAGCTGTTAATCAAAAATCAAAATAAAAACATTATATCAACCGTCATTGTTTATTTTGTTGGCTTGCTTCTCATCAGCTCAGCACAACCCAAAGACATCATTAAGTTTATGCACAGAAACAGTTTTAACATACTGACACGGAGAATTAATTCGATGATTGGAGGCAATCGGCCGCAGGAAGCCTTGCTTGACCTAGGTTTCGTGCTCTTTGGCACTAACCAGTCAGCAAAGCGTATCTGCAACCTTGAAGGAACTCATATCCCTCCTTCTGAGATTCGAACTCGCGTCACCCACTGCCGTCACAGTCACCCAGTCAGAGACGTTACGACTAAGCACATGGTCCGAGGTTCAATCCCCTGCCGACGCACACCTGATGTCTATGGTCGGCCTGCAAAATTTGGGCTACCGATATCACATGCTGAAAATTCCATACTTGTACCAAAAATACAGTGTGGAATCAAGCTGTAATCAAAAAAAAAAATTGTGACTGACCTTCTCTAAGATTGTTTTGGATATTTTTTTGATTTGACACTAGTTAGGAACTAGTGTAATGCGTCTAGTCCTCTGTTTGGTGCTGACTCAATTCTATCGGTGACGTTTGCAATTTTCCCACCATTCTAGATGTGACTCGTGACTGATAGAATTCAGTCAGCACCAAACAGAGGACTAGACGCATTACACTAGTGTTGCTAACTAGTGTCCAGTCAAACAGAGAGTTAATTTTTAAACAAAAAATCAATACATGCGTACTTCCATATAAGTTTATTTATTAGATGTATCACACAGTGAAACAGTATTACTGTCTACTGGATGACGTTTCAAACAAAATTTATTATTCATAATCATATCAATTATAATCACAGGACTTTGAAACTTGAGTTTTATAGTTTTCTTTGTCTTCTCCCATTTGTCGTCGCAGGCGTGGCAGTAGAATTTTCCAGATATCTGGGTGGACAGGTTTTGAATCATTCCTATTGCACGTGTTTGCAGTTGATTCGATAAACAAAGCTTCCGTTATCCATCTCTCCATCACTCCACTCTGTGACATTAGATCTAAAAAAACTGTCAACTTATCCCATTCTATTGTATGGTTACGTGTAATTGCATGTAGTGAGTGCTGTCCATGGCTGAACTATTCTCCGGATTTCTTATCTTATCTAGATTTCGCTAGGTTTTTATGCTCGGCTAGTCTGACTGAATGACCCTGTTCTACTACTTTGACCTATGTATTTGACCTGACAATGAAAGCAGACGGGGTATTATATAAACTGGATGTATGTGAGACCGAACACTTCGGTCCAATCAATCGACGGTAAAATATAAAATTGAATTAAATAATTAATATGACCCGTTGCACAAGAGGTGGCTCTCGTGACCCTAGTGGATAACGCTTTGGCACTTGAAACTATGGGCGCTGGGTCCGAACCTCAGTGGGAACATCACTGTCTCACTGTGGAATGCAGGTATATCTAGATGACGAGTCCCAAATAGGACGAAATGTGTGCTAACCTGGTGGATTCTACTACTAGTCACCATCCACCAATTAACTTTGAATTACATATCCAGACATCCTCGATGCATCTGCACAAGAAGCCGACATGTTAACGTGAGACCGAGTACGTCAGTCGAATCAATCGACGGGAAAATCTAAAATTGAATGAAATAACAAAAATGTGCTGAACAATGTTAATAATATGTAAAGTAAACTGTTTAGTATGAATCGTATTTTCGCATACAAATAGAGGAAATATAAAGACATTTCGTGTTTCTGGATTAATCATCAAAGACATTAGAATAAATATGATGTCCAAATTCTAGTTCACCGATGATCCACTGAGTTTTAATGAAATAGCAACATGTCTTATCCCATCAGCCTCGGAATGTTGTTTAATTCACATATTCGCCAGTTTTGATCCCAAGAAATCCACAATCAAACATCAAAGTTGAAGAGAAACCGAATAATCTTCCTTTGAATCCTGTAGTATCCATCTTCTCTATTAGATTTTGTTCACCGCTAATCAGTGGTATCTGGTATCAATCACAAATATTTGTTGGATCAATATGCAACATATTGATTCCAGTGTAGATTTATCGTTAAATCAACCGGTTAACACTATTGTGGATAGACATATAATATCATGTAAGAAACTAGCGAATAATATATTGTCAGACCCCGAGCATCCCTTCTATACGCAGCTCTCTTCTTGCATTTCATCTGGTAGAACTAGAAGCAGCTATAGGAAGGAGGCTATATGCTAGGACTACCAAGTACAAAACTCCACAATACCTTATCTGGCACAGCTGTTATTTGATGAGAAATCCGTTAGGTATGACACGATCAACTTACTGCGGTACTCTAACAAATAGTCCCATTAGTTTTTGTTTTCCTTTCTTCGTTACTATTTCACTGTTGTTCTCATCTTCTACTACACACCAGTTTTATATTTCATATCCTGTGGTGCATTGTTTAAAATGTAAACGCGACGTTGTTCTTTTTATTTATCTACTTTTTTTGGGTGTTCCTTTTTGATTTTAAAAATCTTATAAAATTTATGAGGTAATTAGATGCAATATATTGTAATGCACGCTGAAAATTCCGTACCTGTACCACAAATACTGTTTAGAATAAAGCTGTTATTATTATTAGTCATGAAAAACTATGACTCACTGAAGAGTTTGTAGTTGTAAACTGAAAAATCTTGTGCTGCGTCTAACCTTTGGGATATAGTGCCAGTGCTAATTTCCAGCATAGACTGGCTTCCATTCGGTGTTACAGGTGTTTGTGTGTGTGTGTGTGTGCGCGGGGTTTTCTTTGTATTGTATTTCACGTACTGACACTGATGTAAGGTAAAGTCTTTAGTCTGAGTCATGTTTATGTATATTTCGGGAGAACAGAATAACAAGCAGGTCCGGTTAGCCCCACCTGATGGGTGATTATGCAGGAGTAATTAGCAAGTCTCATGATAATCCAGTTGTTGTCAGCCGTAGGGAACAGGTAAGAGATGATAACATTTGATTGACAGGCTGTTATGACAACTAGCTGTTATGATTAATACTGATCAATAAGTAATTTTAAACGGTTTCTATGCGATTCTCTAGGTAAATGATTCAACATCACATCCGATGTTGAATAACTGTTAAAAATCAGTGAGAATGTATTTCAGATTGGCATGTTTTTTGTCGGTAGCTAAACTGTAGTCTGACTGACGGACTTGTTTCAATGTAGAGCTTTGCACAGATGTGAAGAAGTTCGAGTTGCAACATACCTTCCATTTAGCAGCACACAAACCAAGGGAGATCCATCAACATAGAGATAATAAAGAGAAATGTGAGGGAGGGAACAATAAAATTTTACTGGATATTATAAATCACAACGCGTGAATACATCTGTGCTATTCATTGAGAACTCAGATTTTGAGTTATATCACTAATTGTCTACAGTCGTCATTGGTTCCTACCATCCCTAGGACCCCAAGCAGACAGGAAGTCTACACCTTCCAACCTGGCTGACTGGCTCAAACTAACTGTTATGGATTTCATTGAATGATAAAACTGTGTTTTGGTTTGATAACCACTATCTGTTTTCCATCCTGATCTTATGTCATCGATATAAGAATAAAACTTGTGCACTGTGGTAGAGTATAATTCCATTATGGGTAAATTTTTGTTTTGATAAAGTCTCACAGTGTTATACAGTCATGTTTACTGATGACCCCGTTTCGAGCACAATTTATTGCCACTCATCATCATATCAAGGTACTCACACGACTTTATAACTTCATTTGTATACTTCCATTATTTTTCACTTGACTTGATTGGCGGTAGTATTTTCCATATTTCAGGTATAAGTGATGAATCATTCCTATTGCATGTGTTGGGTGTAGACTCAATGAACAAGGATTCAGTAATCAGCCCCTCTCTCCACCTACCTAGAGTACTTTTTAGAACTGTAACCATATCCCACCGTATTGTGTGGTTGTGTGTTAATGCATGCAGTGCAATTGCTGAGCTTTATTCTAAATTACTTATCTTCTCGGGTAGGGTCAACCATTCTTACCTTAGCTAAATTCTTATGTTCTGACGATCTGACTACCCCTGACCTAGTAGTTTGACCTATGTAGTTGACCACATTCACAGTCATTGCAGGGTATTTTGTAAATTATAATATTTTGTCTAACTGGATCAAGTGGGTCCTTTAAACTACACAGCTTGTCGCTGAGTGAGTTTCTAGGTTTAAATGCCAACCTAATTCCTACATTATTCAGAATCCTACGTAGTGTCTCCGATGTCCCCTCTTTATATGGTACAACTGTGGATGACTTATATTCTTTCTTATTTATGTTATTATTACTAGTTTCACAATTATTTTTATTTTGTTTTTGGCCTTTAATGATCTTCCTAATGAATTTTATAGGATAGTTATTCAACACCAACGCTTCTTCTATCTGTTTTAATTCATCATTTAGGTCTTTTTTTGTGCTACTTAGTACCACTGCTCGGTTTGTTAAACATTTAACTAAGCCTGCTTTAACAGTTAAAGGATGAGACGAATTAAAGTCTAAATATCTATTAGAATGAGTTGGTTTTCTGTACACACTAGTGTGTAGTTTGCCTTCTTCTATTCTCTTTATCTTACAATTTAACATCATGGCTAATTCTCCTTGTTCATTTTCTGATTCAAATATGAATTTAATTCCCTCAACTTGTGAGTTTATATGCGTCAAGAAGCTAGAGATGTGTTCTGTTTTTAACACTGTGAACGTGTCATCCACATATCTCCACCACATTTTTGGAGTAGGGTTAAATGTATTGAGGGCACTATTTTCCCAGCTGTCCATAAATATATCTGCTACGATAGGGGATATTGGTGATTCCATTGCTACACCTTCTGTCTGTCTATATATTTTGCCTTGGAATTAAAGACAGTAGTAGATGTGAGGCATAACTGAATCCCTAAAATAATTTCTTCAATGGATAGCTTTGTCCTATGATCTTATGTCAGTCAGCTAAGATTGCCCGTCGTCGAGGAAGGCGATGGCTGGACATGCATGCATAACTCATGTCCTAACCATCTCAATCTCTGTAACTCCACAATAATAGAGAAGATTTGGAGCTCAGGTGGATGATTTGAAATTAATAGTGTTCTCTGATCTAGTTGGTTTATTTGCGAAGCTTTCGTCATCCTTCTGGACAACATTTTCAGTGCAATTTTTAGCATAAAGTGAATGATTTAAATTTTTTCATGAGTGATATAATTGCGTCTCCCGGTAACCATCTTTACATATGTATTGACCATTTTCTATTGACTTGGATTTTAAACTTTCTGGTCACATGATTTACTCTTTATTAGTTGGTAGACTTGGTCTATATTAACATGTTTGTTAATCACATATTCCCTTGAGCACCAGGCTTCTAGGAATTCTCTGACTGCACTTTTGGTGTTTCCTCTGTCTAAGACTTCGACATTATCGCAATCAAATTGATGTCCATAATTGTCTATATGCATTAATATGAAAGAACATGTATCATATCTTCCCACAGCTAATTTCTGTTCCTGGATTCTGATTCGAATGAGACGACCACTTTGTCCGATGTAATGTCTGTTACAGTCCATACAGTTAATTTTGTAAATGGTATTAATTTTATCTCCTTTTTCTGTTAGATCTTTCGGTTTGCACAATATCGAATTAAGTGATTTGACTGGCTTGTGTGCTGTATCTATTTCAAACGGTCTTAATATTCTCGCAGTTATTTCAGAGATATCTTTTTATATATGGTAGGATGCAGTTTCTTGTAGTCTTTCATGATAGTTCCTTGTTGATGTTGTGGTTCCATTTTAAACACTTTTCGATGAAATTTTGCGGATATCCATTCTTTTTGAAGACTGTTTGTAAGTATTTTTCTTCCATTCTTTTCAACTTTGGAGTGCTACAGTGTGTTTGAATTCTTTTAAACAATGTCTGCACACAGTTTCTTTTGTGAATAATTGGATTATTGCTAGTAAAGTTGAGTATTTGTTCTGTGTGAGTTGGTTTTCCACATACTTGTATTTCTAAATTTCCTGTGTTGGTTCTCCTGATTAGGACATCTAAAAGTGGGATTTCGTTATCTAATTCGTCTTCTCTCGTGGTGAATTTGATGTCTTCAAATATGTTGTTTATTAATTTATGGGTATATTCTAAATCATTTCTCTCAATTATTACAAATGTATCACTTTATGCTGAAAATTGCGCTGAAGATGTTGTCCAGAAGGACGACGAAAGCTCCGCAACTAAACCAACTAGCTCAGAGAACACTATTAATTGCATAACTGTACAATCTCGTCGATTGATTTCCCCTCCCACCTAGCTAGCACTCGATGGAAGCCTAACTCAAATATCGTAATTAACTTTCACTCGCAGTTGACTTGTGCGTCGGTGCCACAACGGTTACGGCTCTCGCCGACCATGCATATGGTCCAGGGTTCTACCCCTTGCCGATGCACAGCTGATATCTGTGGTTGGCCTGCAAAATCTGGGCTACCGATATCACACACTGGAAATTTCATACTTGTACCAAAAATACGATGTGGAACCAAACTGTAATCAAAATAAATAAATAATTTGTTTTTCTTTTCGTAGACTGTGCTAATTGAATCATTTTGAATTCGACTGTTATGATAATATACCTTCTCAAAAGACATCGAGAATTTTTTTTCAGGTTTACGTTGTTATGCATATCCGATAATCGCAGTGTATTTGATACATTAAGAAGTGTGAAGAAATGATAGAATTTGAGTGTGATTCCATCAGTGTCAGTCGGGGGTGGGGGATGGGGGTACACTTCAGATTGAAGCTCTATAGATCAGGTTTAAGACAGGACTATGTGTACAAATTGGTATCTTAGCGATGAAAATCTACCGATTATTTGTATACTGTGATCACCAGACTAACTGACACTACACACTGTATTGCGCTTGATTTTAACCTTCATTACAGTCAGAATTTTGTATTACGAGTAGTTGAACAGATTTATGAATTTAATAACTGATATAAACTACTCTACAGATTTCAATTTTATTTTTTGTCTTTCCTTTATCCCTTTTATAGCTCGGACTTAAAAACTATGTGGATCCTAAAACAGGTTATACTGTTTTCACTGAAATTGAACATTTAGACCGTGGTTATTGTTGTGGCTCAAAATGTCGACATGTAAGAGATTTAAACAGTCTGTTATTTATCTTTATTTTTTTTCTTATCAAAATAGTTAATTGTTTTTTCACATGAAAGATGTGATGTGTTTGGAAATAAATTTCTTACCTTGGAAGCTTTTTTTAACATTTCTTGCCTCTTTTTGAGTGGAGTATAAAGCTTCACTAGTGGAGGGAATAAAATTCTTATTTGAATCGGAAAATGAACAAGGAGAATTAGCTGTGATGTTAGATTGTAAAATAAAATGAATAGAAGAAGATAAACTAAGTACTAGTGTTTATAAAAAGTCAACACATTCCGCTAATAGATATTTAGACCTCTTTGATTCATCTCATCCGTTCGTTATATGTTAAGGCAGGCTTAGTTAGTGTTTAACAAACCGAGCAGTGGCACTAAGTAGCACAAGAAAAGATCTAAATGACGAAATAAAACAGACAGAACAGGCTTTGGTGTTAAATAACTACCCTTCAAAATTCATTAGGAAGATTGACAAAGGCCAAAGGAAAAATAAAAATAATTGTGAAACTAGTAATAATAACATAAATAAGAGAGAATATAAGTCATCTACAGTTATACCATATAAAGAGGGGACATCTGAAACCCTACGTAGGATTCTAATAAAGCAGGAATTAGGGTGGCATTTAAACCTAGAAACTCATTCAGGGACAACCTCTGCAGGATAAAAGACCCTGTAGGCTGACCCAATTAGACAAAATAATATTATTTACAAAATACCCTGCAATGACTGTGAATGTGGTCAACTACATAGGTCAAACTACTAGGTCAGGGGTAGTCAGATCGTCAGAACATAAGAATTTAGCTAAGGTAAGAATGGTTGACCCTACCCGAGAAGATAAGTAATTTAGAATAAAGCTCAGCAATTGCACTGCATGCATTAACACACAACCACGCAATAGGGTGGGATATGGTTACAATTCTAAAAAGTACTCTAGGTAGGTGGAGAGAGAGGTTGATTACTGAATCCTGCCTGTTTCATTGAGTCTACACCCAACACATGCAATAGGAATGATTCACCACTCATACCTGAAATATGGAAAATGCTACTACCAATCAAATCAAGAGAAAAACAATGGAAGTATATAAATGAAGTTATGAAGTCGTGTGATTACCTTGATATGATGATGAGTGGCAATAAATTGTGCTCGAAACTTGGTCATCAGTAAACATTACTGTATAACACTGTGAGACCTTATCAAAACAAATCTTACCCATAATGGAATAAAGCTTCAAGAATTGAAGTTCCAGTAACAGTGTAACGACAGAAGACAAGGGCCAGGCAACAGATTGTTTATTATTGATATTTATTTATTATTAATATATTTTATGTACATTATTAAAGGATATTGTTAGCCGAGAAACAGCGCCTTCTGATTGGTTGTTTTCTCGGTGAAAGTTATTCTGCCATTTCTTTGAAGGTCAGGCGATATATCTGCGAATCATATACGCCCACGCAAAATCTGCTGTGATAGGTTGTTGAGTTCCTCAAGATTAGGCTTTGTTCTTGTTTATCCTCATGACCAAGATTTGGGAAGTAAACATTGACGTAAATTGCTGTCTACTAATTTTGGCTAGCAGACAGCTCTCACCACAACATTAGTGGGGTTGTTTTTAAGCAGTGAGATTGTTTGCTTTACACTCAACGTTCTCTCTCTACCGGGCTGGTTTAATACACAAGTTAAGTGAGGTGTAGGAGTACGGTGGTCGGGAGTCAAAGTTGGATCACACCTACGTGGCTTGTAAACATTCTACTTATTCTTCCCTATTGCTTCTCCTTAGTCTTTTATTGGGTATTATTTATTTATTTAAACGCAGAAAAACGCGATACATGGTACCAAGAAGATGCGCCACACAATAGTAATAAAACAACATAGATTAAAAGTACAAATATGGGTGGAGAACGAATAAAGAACTTCATCTGGAAGGAAAACAGTCACGCTTAACAAGTTCAGACAGTATTCGTCAACTATCATCGGGAAGCGAAGAAAGAAAGAAGGAAATTGCAGCACGTTCGCCATTGATTACGATTTTTGGCGATATCCGATAACGTTTCGAGCCATCGATTCGATCTATCTCTCGGATGCCAACCAGGGAGTCGTGATGCACCAACCGATGTTATTCTAGCACAAAAGTCCTTCATCCCGTGACACCACGTCATGGACTGACCACCCCTCCGCCTTTTCCATCCCGTCCCAGGGCTGGCTAGCTAACAGAGACTTGTACGGAAGTCTCTGGGATGACATTCGCAGCATATGTCCAAGCCACCGGACCCGTTGTTTCCAGATGACGACACTCAATGAATGGTGATCTCCACTGTGTTCAAACACATGCCGCCGAACCTCAGAATTACTCACGCGATGATGCCATAGAAAGGAAGCAATCCTGCGGAGACAGTGATGATCGAACATGCAGAGCCGCCGCACATTCTCAGCCTACTCGGAGAGGCCAGGTTTCACATGCGTAGAGCAAGACAGTCTGCACCGAAGCATTGTATACCCGACCTTTGACAGCCAGGTTAACGTCGCGACGGCGCCAGAGGTGGCTCAAGTTGATGTATGCCACCCTAGCCTTCATTATACGGTTGTTAATCTCATCCGTCATCCCTCTGCCAACACTCACACAACTAACCCGATACACAAACTTATCGACAACTTCAAGCGGATCACTCTCAAGAGTGAGTGCAGGAACAGGCTTCTGCCAATCTTGCAGCAGTCTTTTGCACTTAGATGGCGCAAAGCACATATCATACTTACAGACACTGATCGCCAACTGATTAAGTGCGATTTGGGCAGCCTGCCTGCTGTTGCACAGTAAGATGATATCGTCTGTGTACTCGATGTCAAGGAGTCTGTCTCCAAGGAGCAGATCTACACCACCTTCACACATATCCTTCAAAGCTGACTCTAGAATGTCATCGATAGCAAAGTTAAAGACAGTTGGAGAGATTGGGCAACCCTGTCTAACAGCACTGTTCTTTTCTTGGGTACTTAGGAAAGAGTTCATTACATTGCGAAGGACACTAAAAACTCTCAGTAGGGTAAGTGAGATGTCGCTAAATCAAGTCGATAATACTGCTATTCACAGACACATGGACTCATGTAAGAAATTAGTGAATATTATCTTTTCAGACCCTAAGTGTCCTCTGTATACACAACTCTCTCCTTGGATCTCATCAGGTAGAACTAGAAGCAACCATAGAAAACTATATGCTCGGAAAACTAAGTACTTTAGATATGATGGAGAAGATCTGTAGCTCAGGTGGATGCCTTTGATGTAGTTGTGTTCTCTGAGCTGAATGGTTTATTTGCGAAGCTTTCATTGCCCCCTACTAGGCAACATCTTTAGCGCAAATAAACCATCCAGCTCAGAGAATACAACTGTGGTGAGAGCAGGCCGTGAGAAAATATGAGCAAGGCTGATTCAACAACCAATCACAGCAAAGTTAACGTGGCAAAATATGATTCGCAGATAGAGAACTCTATTTGTCGAGGAATCCCGAAACAACCAATCAGAAGCCTGCGTTTGTCTGCCTAACTTCTGATAAACAACCAATCAGATGACTGCGCTTGTCTACTTGCATAAGCTATAATAATGTATGTGAAATATGTATAAATACGTGTTGATTTTCATAATAAAAGGATCTGTTGCCTGGCCCTTGTCTTCTGTTGTTACACAACTACATCAAAAGATTAAGTATCTTATTTGACACACAGGACATAACCAGCTTACTGTAGGACTCTAAGCAAACGGCTCCTTTTTTTTCCTGTTCTCGTTATTATATTGTTGTTAATATTTCCACTTAATATAATTTTATACTCATATTCACATTGAACAGTGTTGTCAATTTAAATGTGTATGAATGGTTGGAACGTACTCATATCAACTAGTAGTGTCCACTCACTAGATCGATCTCTGAATACAACGTATTTTATTCTTCTAGTTTACAATGAAGATATTCAAGTGAAAAGCAACAAGTTGACCGAAGAAGCATCTAAAGAAGATGGGGCGTCCTTCAGGTGAACATAGATAAAACGGAGGTGATGAAGATTCCTGGCCAATAGCGACAGCAACACTAACAGACAACAATCAGGCAGAATAAATGGGAGGAATCTGAAAGGAGCAACCTCCTCTACCTACACATACCTGGGAAGCATCGCCGTGTCAACTACAGGCGGAACTGACGAGGATATCAAAGCAAGGATCGGGGTTGCAAGGCAAGCTTTCATTACTCTCATGTCTGTGTGGAGGTCAACAGCACTGGTCAGCATGAAAAATGAGATCCGGATTTTCAACTCCAATGTGAAGTCAGTACTGCTCACTGTATATGGATCAGAGACTTGACACCACGTCATAAAGAGCCCCTCAAACAAACTACACACCTTCATCAACAGCTGTCTTCGCTCAGTACTCAAGATCAGATGGCCGACCAGAAAAGATCAGCAACAGGGAGGCACGTCTGTCAATGAGCGAACCAACCCAACAGGAACCGATTGTGCAAGAAATCTTCGGGAAGAAATGGAGGTAGATTGGCTGGCCATAACTCTGAGAAAACAAGTCATCAAGTGACATAATACGCCAGACCATCACTCGACTGGAACCCGAACGTGAAACGGTTAGTTGGTCGTCAGTGTGAGGGTGACATGGAGGAGGAAGTGATGTGAAGAGGAGATGAAAGCATGTGAGCAGAAGTGGCGCTAGGTGAAAACGTTGGTGGAGAACCGAACGCAATGGAGACATTCGGCTGAATTCTCCTGTTCCTCTAGGAATTAAAAGAAACAATAATAAAAGAATAAATAATAATCGTGCATCCACATCATATGGACAGAATTACACTAAAATCCTTAAATTTCATACCCTACCGTTTCAGTCTAAATTTGAGCGACAGTGTAGTGGAGAATGTTAGAAATAGGCATAAGATCCTAAAGATAAATAACCGTTAGCCATGTAGAATTTAGCTGTTTCAATATCTCTGTAGAATTACTTATAATTTGTAGCACATTGTAGCACTCCAGTGTTGAAAAGAATGGAAGAAAAATACCTACTAACTGTCTTCAAAAGAAGAGAAATAGAAATCCTCACAATTTCATCAGAAAGTGTTTGAAATTGAATCACAACACCAACAAGGAACCATCATCAAAGAAAACAAGAAAATTCATCCTACCATATATAAAAAATATCTCTCAAATAACGGCTAGAATATTAAGACCGTTTGAAATACATATAGCACACAAGCTAACCAGCCAACACAATCACTTCATTCGATATTGTACAAACCGGAAGATCTTACAGAAAAAGGAGATAAAATTAATACCATTTACAAAATAAATTGCATGTACGAACTGTAACGGACATTACATCAGTCAAAATGAGCGTCCTCTTCGAATCAGAATCTAGGAACACAAATTAGCTGTGGAAAGACATGATATATATTCCTGTTTCATATCAATGCATTTAGATAATTATGGATATCAATTTAATGACTGGGATAATGTCGAAATTTTAAACAGAGAAAACATCGAAAGTGCCAAAGAATTCCCATAAACTCAAGTGAATTAGAAATTAAGAAACATGTTAGTATAGACCAAATCTACCAACTAATAAAAGGTAAATCATGTGACGAGAAAGTTCAGAATCCAAGTCAATAAAAAATGATCAATACACATATGTAAATCGACTACCAGGCACGAAGATGGTTACCAAGAGACGTGATTCTATCATACATGGAGGATTTTAATCAGTTCATTTTATGCTAAAACTTGCTCTGAAGATGTTGTCTAGAAGCGGGACGACGAAAGCTCCACAACTAAACCAACCAGCTCAGAGAACACTATTAATTGCAAATATTTATAATCTAATCAACAATTTTGTAAACCTTGAACACTTTAGTAGTATGTAATTCTATATTAATTTGTTCATTATATATATATATATATATATATATATATATATATATATATATATATATATATATATATATATATATATATATATCACTCGATATGAAACAGTATTATTTACTGGATAACAATGTTTCGAACACAATTTATTATTGTTCATAATCACACGACGTCGTAATTTGAATTTCAAGTCTGTGATATATATATCTAGTAAACAAATTAGTTTGGTATTTATACTCTAATTGTCATTTGCTTCAATCACTTAAGTGTGTCAGTGTGATTAGGATGTTAACAGTGAATTTTTGTTGATTAACGAAGGTGTCAACTTTTCAGTTTGTTCATCTTTTAACTCATTTATTTCATCGAAAATACCCATTGATTGAGAAATGAAGAAAATAAAAGACAACTCAGCGAAGAAAACTTTCTTTGTCGACGAAATCATCTTCATATGATGAAAAAGAGAAGACGTTCAGCGAAGAGACTCTTTTCTCCGGCGAATTCATTCACACAGCTAGCTGTACAATCTCATTTATATATAATTATTTGTTTTTGTGTGTGTGTGTGTGTGTGTGTACATGAGGTTTGTCAAGTTTAGATAATTGATCAGGTAATAAAAGAGTGATCTAATATAGAAACAAGGTTAATTAGACAGCAACTAAAGTAAGATTGAGTTAGTAAGTTAGATGACGTAATATAGTTGATTAAAATTTTTTTTTCAACTTAGGTCAGGGCAGCAACAGAAGTAATTACATGTAGAGGCAAAGTAGGAGGGGGGTAGATAATAATGCCATTTAAATTAGAACTGAAATTGAGCAAAGAAGTTGGATGACGTAATATGAATGAGTAGAAATTGAGCATTGGTCAAGTCAGTAACAGTGGTAGTGAAGTGTAGAAATTAAATCGGGTGGGGGTAGAGAACAAGAAAGTTGAAAATCTGATGCTCACTAGTGACTGGCCCTATTCAGGCAGTTAACCTGGGGTTCTAGTGGGAAGCCGTGACCAGTAGGGTACAGCAGGTTGAAGATGAGGCAGTAACTCATCGGAGAAGACAATACGAAGTGGTCGCGCTATGTCGTGAATTGGCAGAAGTTAGAATTCAAGGACCATTGGATCGGGTCCCAGTGGCTCAATGGTCTACGAGCTCGCCTTGTAACCAGAAGGTCCTGGGTTCGAATCCCGGTGGGTGCGTACTGCTGAAGAGTCCCAAACTAGGACGAAACAGCTGTCCAGTACTCCCAGGTTTTCCAGTGGTTCTCTAACTGATGTCAGCTCATGATTAAATCCTCCATGCAATCAAACAAAATCCCTACAAAACCAATACTTGAAAGTTGGAAATGTAAATTATTACAATTGAGAAGACAAAATTATACTAATGAAGAGACAGAAGAGAAAAAAGATTAGGTAGAATTTACTTGTCGGGTAATAAGATAGATTAAGTCCATTGCAAGTGTAGTGATTGAACGAGCTTCTTGTGTATGCAGAGTTCAGGGCTTAGCAAGTGAATCGCCATTGTTTCTGCAGCTTAAAGAAGTCTAATTCGTACACCTTTAGGAAGACTACTTCTTATTCTGTAGACGACTTTTTAGTTCGTTTGGGGTGTAGCTTGGTGTCCGGATTCTATCAGATGTTCTAAGATGGAGCTGCAGGGACATCGTTTTTCTCCTTTGTAAAAGCATGTTGGTAAGTGTTCAGTGATACGTTTGGAAAGCGAACGCTGGGTTATGGTCGACATACCTGGTTCCACACGAGCAGGTGAATTGATAAATACACATTGATGAGGCCAGCATCTTTAAAGCGGCTGTACTGTACAGTCTTTTAAATATATATAGTAGTCCATTAGTGAGTTATAGGGGTTGACATAACTGGTATAACTACTTAGAAGTGATTTCAAAAGTAAAATAAAAGTTGAGAACTTGATAAATTTAAAACTGTTATTGAATGAGAGAGAAGAAACCCAGTTGATTGTCCATTTAACAAGCGTGAGGAGAGTTAGAAAATGTAACAAAGGAACATATGAGAGTGATATAATAGTGAATTAATTATTTAAGTCAAAGCAAAGTAATCATTAAAAATTTTAAAAAAATGTACAGTGAACCACTAGTGATGAGGTTAAGACCACGGTAGAATAAGAGACTGGACAAACATTTTCTACATACAGAGTTTGGCGTTGTATTGACGAATCGCCACACGCAATTGTCCAAACCTAACGTCCTTTGTACCATTCGACCTCATCTTGTAGATGATCTTGAAAGATGACTCTGGTGGAGCTGCTTGGCCTAAAGTTCACCTCGTACGTAAGCATTGAGCTGGTAATTGTCTTGCATTGTCCTTTCGCGAGCCATGCCGGATAATTTTCAGAGGTGCATTTGGAAAGTGTGCACTTTGTGCGGCCAATATAACCAGCTCCATACGAGCAGATGAATTTATAAACACACACACACACGCTGTGCATTTTTGGTAAACATAAATATGACTGTACAATACAGCCTCTCTGAAGATGATTTTGTCGATAATGAAAATTTTCTGAATTCACTGAATTATTATCTCTTATTTTCTTCATAATTCATTTATGTGTAATTCAACTTGTTCACCTTGTTTTTTCTTTCTTTATTTACCTCTTTCTTATTCAGTGTCCGTATAATCATGTGAACTGTTCAACTGAATCGCCTAAACAAGAAGAAAAATAATTAGCCGTGTTCATCTCTGGTTTAGGTGAACACCATATCTATGCTGTGTGCTATGTCATCGCTTCCTATCCCCAGGCTACTTTACAAGCTTGTCTAGTCATCAATTAGGTCTCCCTTTCTGTCAATGAAGCTTACTTTCATCATGAATAGATTTTTTCAATAAATTTTATTCTTATATAAGGTCTTTTTGTATTCAATTGAACAAGGTATATATATACTAGCCATAACAACTAATATAGGTGTAAAACTTGGGCACTGTGGTAGTAAGTAATTCCGTACTAATTTCTTTATTAGATGTATCACACAGTGAAACAGTATTATTATTATTTACTGTATGACAAGGTTTTGAACACAATTTATTATTTTTCATAATCACATCATCAATTATAATCACACGGCTTCGGAACTTGAGTTCTTTAGTTTTAATTGTCCTCTCCTATATGTCGTCGTAGGCGTGGTAGTAGAATTTTCCAGATATCTGAGTGTACAGGTGTTGAATCATTACTATTACACGTATTTGCAGTTGATTCGATAAACAAAGCTTCCATTGTTATCAATCTCTCCCTTCCTCCACCATTTGACATTAGATTTTAAAACTGTCATCCTATGCTATCCTTTCCTATTGTATGGTTGTGTGTAATTGCATGTAGTGAGTGCTATCTACGGCTGAACTATTCTCTAGATTTCTTATCTTATTCGGGTCAAATAATCTAGATTTTGCTGTTTGACATGCATGCCGTCATTGCTACTATTATTATTATTACTATTATGTCTACTATCATTACTGTTTTTATTTTTACATTTCCCTACATATTTCTCGACTAATTTATCAGGGTAATTATTACGTTTCAAAGCTTTTCTTATATGTCTCACTTCCTGCCTTAGATTTTCCTTGGTACTACTTCGTTTTTGTGCTCTGTCACTTAAACATTTCACCAATCCTATTTCCACCGACATAGGATGGGATGATCGGAAGTCCAAATATTTGTTTGAATATGCGGGTTTCCTGTATGCTGGAGGTATGTAGATGATACATTCACTGTACTTCGAACACAGGATACAGATAGATTTTCGAACATATTAACTCAAAGGTGGAGGCAATTCAATTCACTTATGAATTGGAAAGTCACGAAGGGAGGCTTCCAATTTTAGACTACAGCGTAAAAAGAAAGAAGGTGGGAAGTTAAACACTAGTGTTTATAGGAAACATGACAAAACCCACAATAAGGAATCTTAACCTTTGACACCTTCATCCATGTCGTTGCTTGTATTTGAAACGATGCTTACCAGATAAGTGAAGGAGGTAACCTCTGTCAAATCCCTCCCGTTGATGGTGATGGTTGTTGTTGTTGCTGCTGCTGCTCTTCGTTGGTTATCTTCATCACCTCCGTCTCACCTGGAGCCCTGTCTTCGCTGCTGGTCTCTTCAGCCAGCTTGTTGGTTTTCACCTCCAAGTCATCGAGTTTGTATGACATTAGACATATATCATCCACACGCGAAATCCAGATCTTCTAGAGCCTACTTATCGGTCGTCCAGCTCATTCCTGATTTCTTGCCCCCAACAGTCGGACGCATAATCCAGTCGACCACAATTATGAATATCATCGGTGATAATAGGCAGGTAGCCTTGTCTTACTCATGTACGCACTTTGTGAACGCCTCACTGAGTTTTTCGTTGTATCTTTTACTTCAGAAAAAACATTTAAATAACTCAGGTATTTCGAATTGAGTAATATTAATAATAATAATAATAGTGATAATAACAATTGTGAAAAGCTTTAAATGAATCAGGAATAATAATAATACTAATAAGTGGTAGAATAAAGTGCTAATAATATTAATAATAATAATAACAACAACAATTGACAAGTAAAACATATTACCATGGTAGATTCAGAGTGACGACCACTTCCTTTTGTACACCGAAGACCTGGTTTACAAACCTGAATTCCACAAGCCTCCATAATTGCAAGCCAATGTCTTCATGTCTTCTTAATCTGCTGACAACAGGGAGTGAATGACTTGACAGTGCGTCAATATCATGTCCGTAGTCTACTAAGTGCTTCTGTATTGAAGAGTTCTACGGAAATTTGATGAATTCATTAAAACTTGCTGTATTAACCTTTGTTGCTTGTTTTATATTCGCATCGGGTAATAAATGTTTCCAGAGTGAAGTATCTGTTGGTGAGTCGTATCACATTTGCATTTGATTTCAACATTATTCATCGTTTACCATTCGATCAGATGTTTGCAATAAGTGTATGGGTGAAACTAGTAGTGATAACATAAATGAGAAATAATATAAGACATCTACAGCATTTTTTGCCGTATAAAGGAGGATGGAGAGCACATCTGGGAGCCTCCCTACGTAGGATTTTTCAATAAAGCAGGAATTAGGGTGGTGGCATTTAAACCTACAAACTACTTCAAGTAAGACAAGCTCTGTAGGTTAAAAGACGTTGCAAGTTGACTCAGTTAAATCAAATAATATAATTTACAAAATACCTTGCAATGACTGTGAGTTAAGTTAACTACATAGATCAGTCGAACTAGTAGACCAAGCAGGAGTAGTGAGATTATCAGAACATAAGAATTTAGTTAGATGTAGAATGACTGACCCCACGAAGATGGGTAATTTAGAAGAAAACTCAGCAATTGCACTGCATGCATTGACACACAACCATACAATAGGGTGCGACAGAGTCAAAATTCTACAAAGTAATACATGTAGGTAGAGCGCGAGAGAGATTGATTACTAAATCCTGCCTGGTTCATCGAGTCTACACCCAACACATGCAATAGAAGTAACTTAACGCAAATACCAGAGATATGGAAGATATTATTACCACCAGTCAGTTAAATCAGAGGAGGATAATAAATAATGTTTAAATGTATCATTTTGTCGAGATTTCCAAATTCTTCAAAATATTAAACATACAAAGAACAGCAAATCTACTACTACGATTTGCTGAAACAATTACAATCAAACGTCTCAGGCTAAACTTATGAACACAGAAATAGAGTGTAGTCTAACTCTCTCTCTCTCCCTTGGTAACCGCATCACTTTCATTACACTGATTAATCATACACACTAGTGAGCTCAGTTCACTAAGCAAATTTCCAGTTTGATGAACTTCAACCTTCTTGAATTTCCATGGTGACGTAGAAGCTAACAATATTTATTAGATTTTTGTGTCTTCTCTCAACCCCCCCTCGTTTTTTCATATTTTGATAGTGTATAAATTGATGGTGACTTAAACTAAAGCGAATTGTAATACTTACATTCCGGATGCGTTCATCTTCTAATGTTTTCACTATTACCTTTCAAACAATGAAGTATGAAATGTTATTATTTATAACCACTCTGTAATTTCAGGTAGTGGTGTGCAGCTGATGAGAACCTGTGAAATAGAATGACGATATCATTTTATACTGCAAATCTGGTCTTTATTTCTTTATAAAAATGTATTCAATTCATATTATAACATTCCAACATGTTACTTATTTTTACATTGTATTTTATTGATAACACTAATATTATTATTTCCGAATGTACTTTATCTTCCTTTCTGTTTCACGCATGTCTTTTATTGATTTTATTCAAGATGTCAATTTTTACTTATGTACATAAATGAAGCAAGGAACTTAAGTGAGTACCTTGATATTACGATTATGGGCTGTCATATTTTATGTTCGAAACGTGGTCATCAGTAAATATATTATTATTTCCTTTAATTCCTACAGGAACATAGGGCTTCGGCCGTGTGTCTCCATTGTGTTCGGTTCTCTGCTAACATTTTCACCTGGCTCCAAGTCTGCCCAGATGCTTTCATTTCCTCTTCACATGACCTCCTCCAATTCACCCCACTCTCACAATGACGACCGACTGGCCACTTCCCTTTCGGGTTCCACTAGAGCAATGGCTTGTCTAGTGTTGTCACTTAATGGTTTCCTCAGAGTATTGCCAATATAACTTAATATATATATATATATATATATATATATATATATATATGCTGTATAAAATTGTGTGATTTTATCAAAATAAAATTTTATCCGTACTGGAATTGTAAAGGAATTTTCACTCTAAAGATATAACAAAATTCCCTGTACAAGAATAGCGTCCCAGGAGTGTGAACGCACAAATGACCTTGAACGCAAGCTAGTCGTTGGTTAATGGTACCTGTTATTATCATAACTGAAATATCAACCCTATTCATCAAATAAGGAGCAAGTTTCACCCAGATTACGCTTTTAATTACTCTTTGGACAATGTGCTAACATCTCGTTAGGTTTAGGATTAGGGTTAAGGTGAGTATTGGGGTTGGGGTTAGGGTTACGGTCATAGTTGGGATTAGGGTTAGGTTTACGGCAGGATAAGGATTGTCATTAGGGTTAGGATTAAGGTTAGGGCTAGTGTGAAATTTAGGGTCGTAGTCAGGATTACGGTTAGGGTTGCGATTAGGAATAGATTTGTCGTTTATTTCAACTTGCTGTATTACCCTCATTTTCCTTGTATGTAGTCATCAATGCTAGTACTGATGAGCTCTTACTGAAACCATAGTAACTTCACCGAAGGCTTTGAAGGGGACTACACAGCAAGAGAAGAGAGATGGACGATTCACAAAACAGCTAATCTTCAGTCACTTTGGTGAATACATCTACAGAAACTAGTCTAACTTAGCAACTAATTATCTCCATCATAACTGGGACTTATTTTTAGATCATGTCAGAGAAAGATAATCTATTTAATGTGTTTTCATGCATTTTCTTGTGAATATATGTCATTTTTTGTGCGAAAATTCCTCATTTTTTATGACTGGTTGACTGAAGGTCATTTGTACGTTCGCATCCCTTGGGACGCTATTGTTGAACTTTGCCATATCCTTTTGAAATGAAATGATAATAATAATAATTATTATTATTAATACTGTATAATGAATGCATTTATTTATTTCTTTGAAAATTTCACCGATGAAATAGTCTCTGTTAAAGTTGGCGCTGGTTTCCAATTATCTAATTCAGCGATCTCTTTGCGTATAGCAGCCATCACGGCTTTATTGGCTTCAGCTTGTGTTGATTTCATCCTTTTTAGAAAAAAAATGTATGCAATAGTAGAAACAAAAACATGTCTTTCATAAAAAAAAATTGTTAAGGATCTTAAAAAAACTAATGATTTACTATTATTTTTTTATTGCTTTACATTCCCAGTGGAATATAGAGCTTTAAAAGCTATAGCTTTGTAGTTTCCATAGCAGTGGTCTCATTTTTACCGGGTTGGGATTGCTAGTCTCACACCCAACCTTTTATTCTTTGCCGGAATTATTGTTAGCTAAGAGGGTTTTGGGACCAGACCATCTTACTGGCTGCCAAGCATCCTACCTCTGCGCTACCGACGCACAAAAGGAAATTAATGAATTATACAAAGTAACAGTTGGAGTATTTACACATCTCTGATGATCATTTAATTTTGATAGTTATGCCAACTTCTTGCAACTCTTCCCACTGATAAACTTGAACAACGTCACTCCACTATCCAATGGTTATCCAGTTTATTTGAAATCAAGCCTGTAAGTGTCAGAAATTTGAACTTGTTCAGATTAGGTTATTTCGTAGAATGAAATTTTGGTTGAAAGAAGCTCAAGTGTCATGTTGTGCATACATCATCAGTATTAAACACATTCGTAAAACAGAAAATAAAAGAACAATACAGCCTGAACATTCATATTCTGAGTTACCATCGGAATCTCCTGTCTTGCTTCAGTGCTTTCTAACAGATCTCCTAGTGACATTAGAGTAATGAAGTTGGAGTTGCGAAAACTTCTACTTTTTTTTGTAATTATAGCTTAATTCCACACCGTATTTTTGGTACAAGTATGGAATTTTCAGGAGGTGATATCGGTAGCCCAAATTTTGCAGACCAACCATTGATATCAGGTGTATGTACGTTGACAGGGGATCGCATCCCGGACCATGTGCATGGTCGACGAGAGTCCTAACCACTGTATCACCAACGCTGAGGGTGTAAAAATTAAAAGTTGGTCTTAAAGACCTCCTGAATTCTTAGAACAATACACAGTGATCACAGATTATTAGGCACATCCGTCAAGTATGCATACACTGCACGAAACTTGTGTTTCCCGAAAGACGCATCCTGCTTATCATAGACTTGCCATAATACAGACTGACTCAGTATTGATGATGAGTTGATACCAGTTAGAGAACAAATGGAAAGCCTGAGAGTTATTATTATTGTTCCCTTGGACTCCTAGTGGAACATAGGGCTTCAACTGCACGTCTCCCTCCACTTGCTTATGTCTTCCTTCTCCTGTACTTTTCACCTGCATCCATCTTAGTCCATACTCTTTCAACTCCTCTTCACACCATCTCCTCCATCTCATCCACTCTTGCACCGACGTCCCACTCGCCGGCTCCCTTTCAGCCTGGTTCCACTCGAGAAATGGCCTGACGCGCGCGCGATGTCACCAACCGGCCTCCTCAGCGAGCCACTGTCCAATCCATCTCCCTGCACTTTCTCCTGCTGTATATTCGTTGGTTGGCGATTGCTTCTCGTTTTGTTTTGTTTGTTCCCATAGTTTCTTGTTTTCGGTGCTTCTTTCCGGCCCGGCCATCTGATCTTCAGTATAGAGCGAAGACAGTTGTCGATAAAGGTCTGCAATAGCCTGCCAAGTTTCTGATCCGTATAGAAGAACTGACTGACTTGACGTTGCTTGTATTGAAAATCCGACCGAATTTTGTTGTTGATGCTGGCTGAGTGACAAAGATTTCCAGATTGGTTTCAGGTTGATGAATGTGTGTGTGTTCTCACCTTCCCGATTCTCGCTCGATTTGACATCCTCGTCCGTTTCGACTGCCTGTAGTTGAGACAATGCTCCCTGGTTAGATAAGTGAATGAATGAATGAAGTAACCTCTTTCAAATCCCTCCCGTTGATGGTGATTGGCGCTGGATGTTTCTGCTGCTGTTGTTGTTGGTTGTTTGTTTGGTTGGTTATTTTCATAACCTCCGTCTTGTCTATGTTCACCTGGAGTCCTGTCTTCGCTGACTGCTTCTTCGACCAGTTTGTCGGTCGGTTTTCGCTCGCTTGTAAGTCTTCGATTTTGTGTGACATCAAACATAAATCATCCATGCTCGAAATCCAGGTCTTCTATGTTCTTCACGTTGGTCCAGGATATCCCTGTCTGATCGTTTCCCACTCACTGTCTGATGCATAATCCAGTCAGTCCACCACAATTAGGAATATCATTGGTGATAATACACACCCTTAAACCTGGGAGTACTGGACAGCTAATTCGTCCTGATCTGGGAATCTTCAACTATCTGAACTCAGAACCTTACAGTTACGAGGTAAGCTTGTAGACCATTAAGCCACTGGGACCTGGCCTGGTGGTTTATGACTTCCAACTTCTGTCAATTGATGATGTATATTTATCCTAAGCAGCAGCCAATATCACGGGCAAGTTACTGTCTTCTTGCCTGACTTGATGGACCCCGCTGCTTAAGACTTTCCATTAGAACCCTAGTTAACTCCTGTGTAGAGCCAGTCACTAATGAATAACAGATTAAATGTGAAGTGATGGTTTGCAGGGATCTGATCACGAGTCAACATCAGTTAGAGAAGCATCTATAAAACCGGTGGGAGAGTAATGTAGAAGAGTCCCTGACTGGGACAAGGCAGCTGTCCAGGACTCTCAGGTTTTCCTACGGCTGTCTAACTGATGTCACCTTGTGATCATTCCTGTAACCAATCAAATAACCGCATAAAGTATGAAATTTTTCCGAGACATTTTTTGAGGTATTCTGAAAAAGATGTTTGAAACAATATTATGGCGTTGTTTACTCCATTTATGCACACATATATATGTGTGTATGTATGTACGCAAGGTATATACACTGATGTCTATCATGTAGCGAGCTATTTACGAAATGAATAACTCAGTTGTGAGCCCCGTACTTCAAATTAGACTGAAAAAACTTCCAGCAACTGGAAAGAACACCACCAGGAACCTCGGAATTCAACAGACACTGTATATTATTGAATGGTAATAAGCCTTAGAATTGTATAGAAAAAGAGTTCCAGGTCAATGATATAATCTAACGTCAAATTACAATATACCTTTGTTACCTGTCATTTAGCTTTGTAACTACACCGTAAATGCTACTGACAGACGTCAGTGTGCACGCAGTTACCATAAAACGATTGAATGTATATATGACTGGTACAGAAATAATTTACAAAAGGTAAACAAGGTTTCATTAGGGTCATTCATCAACTGGACACAGATATACTATCCCCTAAATTACAATAAAACATCATTACATGCATCACCAGGAGACAATGGTTATATTTACTGGAATTAGAAAAGATCTTTTATTCTGATCAGATCAAATTATGTGGTAAAATTATCCATTTAAGGTGGTTATTCGTTGAAATATTTCTTGTTGTTCATAACTTAAAGATTCTCTTAGGATTTCTGAGCAAAAAAAATGGTATCATTTTATTTTGTATTTGTTCAGGCCTATTTTCATACGGACACCTTGAAAACAGCTGTTTAAAGTTTGAATACGGATGGATATCGGTTATAGAACCACTGAAAGGCAGCATGGAATACTTCACATCTGTTTTGTCCTCCGAAGTATACATTCACTACAAGGGTTTCGAACTCAGGATCTGCCGGTTACAAGGAAAAATTGTAGACCATTCAGTTGGATCCTTAAAAGCTGAATTGTCTACGAGCTTGACTGGTAACCGGAAGGTCCTGGTTTAGAACCCTCTGTGGTGGGTGTGTACTGACGATGAGTTGTAAACTAGGACAAAAAACAGCTGTGAAGTACTCCTCTGTGGCTGGTTTTCAATGGTTCTCTAACTGATATCAATCCGTTTTCAAACTTGAAACAAATCGAATCCTTACAAACCAATTCTTCAAAAATAGTTGGATCATAGGAGGTGAACCTCCAAGAGTGTAGTGTTTATAGATTGATTTTGTACCTGAGCATGTTTACAAATAGGAATTGGTTTGTGTTTAACTATCGTCATAGAAACTAATTCTCAAATCGCAATACATCACTGTTTGGCATGTTTGGCATGCGATTCGCCCCTGCAAAATGTAAGATGCTGCTACAGGACTGGACCACGTCAATCCCTAACTTAGTGATAGGGAGTGAAGTGATAGAACATGTTGACCACTTCACCTATTTGGGAAGTTGTATTAGCACCAACGGACTGATTGGCGATGAAATCTCAGCACGGATCCGAAAAGCTCGAGCTGCTTTCGCTGACTTACACCATCTCTGGCGTAGGCGTGACATCCGGTTATCAACCAAGGGACGTGTGTACTGCTCATCAGTTCGCTCCATCCTTCTCTATGGCTCTGAAACATGGCCAATACGCGTTGAAGACATGAAAAGGTTGACTGCTTTCGATCATAGATGTCTGCGATCTCTGTCTCACGTTAGGTGGTTTCACAAGATAAGTAATGTTGACGTTAGACGTAGAGTGTTGGACAAAGAAGGAAAATCAATCGACGAGGCTATAAAGTTACATAGATTGAGATGGCTAGGTCACGTGCTGCGCATGCCTAACCATCGCCTCCCCCGACGGGCTTTGCTAGCTGATATAGGTGAAGGTTGGAAAAGAGCCAGTGGTGGCCAAACAAAAACATGGCCTCATCAATCCATGAAATCCTTGACAGTTAAACTGAGTCGGTCAGGTAGGGAGATGCAGACTTCCGTCCGGGTTGGGGCCCTCGGGACTCTAGGAATCAATGGCTGGAGACAATAGGTGACATGGCTCAAAATCGTTGTCAATGGCCAGCGCAGATGTATTCAGTCTCTGTAATCTTTCATATTCCTTTCCACCATTACCCATTCTGTTTCACTCTTATACTTGTCAGACTGTATTGATTCTCTTCACTCATCTTCTTGTCTACCTCTGTGTGCTATTTGGAAAGTGGCAACTCGAACTGGTGCACTTCGGTGCCAAGTTCTATGTTGAATCCAGACAGACAGACAGACAGACATCACTGTAAATCAGCTTCAGAAGCGAAAAGAAGTATACAATTTACACTGACTAAACTTACACTGGATCCACTGGAAATCTTGGGACTTCAATTCTTTTCGGAATGTGGGTTATTAAACTGAAATTTAAGTAACAGGGAAATAGACATCCTTTATGTTGTATGTACAAGGAAGTATAAAGCAAAAAGGTAAAACATTAATTGCTTCTTCTTCTTCTGTAATCAGACATTAGTATTAAAATTTACTTCGATTTCAGATGTATGATGTGATGGTGTTCCCACTAAGACTGGCAAAATAACTTGGGTCTCGCTGGCAACACCACCGCTTAATGGGCATACAGATACATACATTCAACTGATGCGTTGTGAATATGCAGAAAAGTGCGTCATGGATTTCACAACTGTCAACCGTCAAACTAGGAATATCGTGTCAGTATCAAGGCATCATCTAAGTATCTATACTTGAAGCCAATAGATTAACAACAATTGAGCATTCAAGTATTGATTTGTAGGGATTCACTTGATTGGTTACAGGATTTCATCATGAGCTGACATTGGTTAGAGAACCGTTGAAAAACCTTGGGAGTACTGGACAACTGTTTCACCCATCCTAGTTTGAAACTCTTCGTCAGCACGCACCCACTACAGGAGGTTTCAAATCCACGACCTTCTTGTTACAAGGCGAGCTTGTAGACCATTAAGCCACTGGGAATTCATGGACCATTGAATCGGGTCTCAGTGGCTACTGAATGCTCTACGAGCTCACCTTGTAACCAGAAGGTCCTGGGCTCGAACCTCCTGTGATGGGTGCGTGCTGATGAAGAGTCCCAAACTAGGACAACGGAAACAGCTGTCCAGTACTCCCAGGTTTTCCAATGGTTCTCTGACCATTGTCAGCTCATGGTGAAATCCTGTAAACAATTGAGCAGTTTGTGCCCATAAAATCAATCAACATGAATTTCGAAATAACTTGTAGTTCTTAATCAAAGATTACTGTCACTATTTATTTGTTTGTGTATGAGTCAGATAAATAAAACCCTTTTGCAGATCGTGGGAAACACCCATAATCATATTAGACAGAAGAGAACACGAAGTTCAGCAAAGATATCTGTCTTTTCGGCAATTTCATTTTCAAAAGCAGCTATACAATCGCATTGAAATACATAATTTTACATAGATACAATTTTTGTTTACTTGATTCCAAATAACTACAAAGGTGGATAAAAGGTGACAATTATTTTCAACTAGATATGGTTTACGAGAGGTTTAGAAACAAAAATTACACAGGATTAGGATATAATTGTACAATAGTTATTTTAAACGAATTATAAATGTGAACAGGAGAAGCATGGAAACAAATTTAAAATAACTGTTTTTATAACTAAAAAAATGGGGTGAATCGAATGAAGACAGAGAGAGGCTAAGAATTACACACACGGTGAACGAAAAAAAATGATCGAAAAAGAACAAAAGAAAAAAAGAAAGCTAAGGAAACCTCGTTAACAGCTGTACGAAAACGGCACATGTCAAGTGATCCACAACGGAAAACTCAGCGAGGCGTTTGGAGTAAACACAGGAGTCACACAAGTGTGCTTATTATCTATCACCAATGATATTCCTAATTGTGGTGGACTGACTGGATTATGCATCAGACAGTGAGTGGGAAACGATCAGACAGGGATAGATATCCTGGACCGACGTGAAGAACATAGAAGACCTGGATTTCGCGCATGGATGATTTATGTTTGATGTCACACAAAATCGAAGACTTACAAGCGAGCGAAAACCGACCGACAAACTGGTCGAAGAAGCAGCCAAAGAAGACAGGACTCCAGGTGAACATAGACAAGATGGAGGTTATGAAAATAACCAACCAACCAAACAACCAACCAACAACAACAGTAGCAACATCCAGCGCCAATCACCATCAACGGGAGGGATTTGAAAGAGGTTAGTTACTTCATTCACTTATCTAGCCAGGGAGCATTGTCTCAACTACAGGCAGTCGAAACGGACGAGGATGTCAAATCGAGTGAGAATCGGGAAGGTGAGAACACACACATTCACTCATCAACCTGAAACCAATCTGGAAATCTTTGTCACTCAGCCAGCATCAACAACAAAATTCGGTCGGATTTTCAATACAAACAACGTCAAGTCAGTCAGTTCTTCTATACGGATTGGATCAGAAACTTGGAGGGTCACAAAGAATATTTCCGAAAGGTTGCAGACCTTTATCGACAACTGTCTTCTCTCTATACTGAAGGTCAGATGGCCGGGCCGGAAAGAAGCACCGAAAACAAGAAACTATGCGAACAAACAAAACAAAACAAGAAGCAATCGCCAACCAACAAATATACAGCAGGAGAAAGTGCAGGGAGATGGATTGGACAGTGGCTCGCTGAGGAGGCCGCTGGGTGACATTGCGCGCGCGTCAGGCCATTTCTCGAGTGGAACCAGGCTGAAAGGGAGCCGGCGAGTGGGACGTCGGTGCAAGAGTGGATGAGATGGAGGAGATGGTGTGAAGAGGAGTTGAAACAGTATGGACTAAGATGGATGCAGGTGAAAAGTACAGGAGAAGGAAGACATAAGCAAGTGGAGGGAGACGTGCAGTTGAAGCCCTATTTTCCACTAGGAGTCCATGGGAGAAATAATAATAATTATCATCTATACAACCGTTTTAATTTCAGGTAGTGTTGTGCAGCGGATGAGAGCCTGTGAAATAGAATGATGATATCAGTTTATACTGAAAATCTGATCTTTCTTTCTCTATCGAATTTTATCGGGTGAACCAAATGTATAAAATTTAAGTTCTCATGATAGATAAGTTTAGCATACGCCATTAGGGATATCTATCTCCGATGAAGGAAACAGTGGTGCCATCTGGAAATTGTTAGGTGACTTAAAACCACTGCATAATAAGACCTGAATTAGTAGTATTCAATGCTCGTAAGTAATGCGAGACAGACTGACTACAATATGAATATCATTGATATAAGAATAAAACTTGTGCACTGTGGTAGAGTATAATTCCATTATGGGTAAATTTTGTTTTGATAGAGTCTCACAGTGTCATACAGTAATGTTTACTGATGACCAAGTTTTGAGCACAATTTATTGCCACTCATCATCATATCAAGGTACTCACACGACTTCCTAAATTTATTTATATACTTCCATTATTTTTCACTTGATTTTCACTTGACTTGATTGGCAGTAGTATTTTCCATATTTCAGGTATGAGTGACGAATCATTCCTATTGCATGTGTTTGGTGTAGACTCAATGAAACAGGCAGGATTTAGTAATCAACCTCTCTCTCCACCTACCTAGAGTACTTTTTAGAATTGTAACCATATCCCACCGTATTGTGTGGTTGTGTGTTAATGCATGCAGTGCAATTGCTGAGCTTTATTCTAAATTACTTATCTTCTCGGGTAGGGTCAACCATTCTTACCTTAGCTGAATTCTTATGTTCTGACAATCTGACTACCCCTGACCTAGTAGTTTGACCTATGTAGTTGACCACATTCACAGTCATTGCAGGGTATTTTGTAAATTATATTATTTTGTCTAATTGGGTCAGCCTACAGGGTCTTTTATCCTGCAGAGGTTGTCCCTGAGTGAGTTTGTAGGTTTAAATGCCAACCTAATTCCTGCTTTACTTAGAATCCTACGTAGGGTTTCAGATGTCCCCTCATTATATGGTATAACTGTAGATGACTTATATTCTCTCTTATTTATGTTATTATTAATAGTTTCACAATTATTATTATTTTTCCTTTGGCCTTTTTCGATCTTCCTAATGAATTTTAAAGGATAGTTATTTAACACCAAAGCCTCTTCTATCTGTTTTACTTCATCTACTTAGTGCAACTGCTCGGTTTTTCAAACACTTAACTAAGCCTGCCTTAACAGTTAAAGGATGAGACGAATTAAAGTCTAAATATCTATTAGAATGCGTTGGTTTTTTATAAACACTAGTATGTAGTTTATCTCCTTCTATTCGTTTTATTTTACAATCTAACATAGCTAATTCTCCTTGTTTATTTTTTCGATTCAAATAAGAATTTTATTCCCTCCACTAGTGAGTTTATATGTGTCAAGAAGCTAGAGATATGTTCTGTTTTTAACACTGTGAAAGTATCATCCACATATCTCCACTGTATTTTTGGAGTAGGATTAAATGTAGTTAGGGGGTACAATATGAATAGAATATACTGGGTGGTACTACATTTAGTGGATATTGATCGATAGACATCTCTCAGAATTCCTGAGACATACTGTCGTTGATTGTGAACATTGAAAGTTGATTCATTGGCCTTGGTCGCTATTGGCGGGCAACTCGAAGGCGCGAGTGATTCGATCATGTACAAGGTGGAAGAATACGAAGGTATACGAATAAAAGTACAGTACATTCCTTGTAAAAACATTTGTTTATAGACTTTTTACAGAATATTGATCTTAACTGCCGAACAATACAACTTATTACAAGTCCTTATGTTTTGGAGTTAAGTTCAATATTATGCATAGTAATTGTGAAAAGTAACAAGTTGGCAGAAGAAGCATCAAAGATAGGACTTCACGTGAACATAGATAAAACAGAGATGATGAAGATTCCTAGCCAACATCAACAACACCAACAGACCACAATAAGCATAAATGGGAAGAACCTGAAAGAAACAACCTCCTTCACCTACCTGGGAAGCATCGTCTCAACTACAGGCGGAACTGACGAGGACATCAAAGCCAGAATCGGAAAAGCAAGACAAGCTTTCATTACTCTCAAATCTGTGTGGAGGTCAACAGCAATCAGCATCAAAAATAAGATCCGGATTTTCAACTCCAATGTGAAGTAAGTGCTACTATACGGATCAGAGACTTGGCGAGTCATAAAGAGCATCTCAAACAAACTTCAAACCTTCATTAACAACTGTCTCCGCTCAATACTCAAGATCAGATGGCCAGAGAAGATCAGCAACAGGGATCTCTGGGAGCGAACCAATCAGGAACCGATTGTGAAACAAATAGGCAGAAAGAAATGGAGATGGATTGGCCATACGCTGAGGAAACCATCAAGTGACATCACTAGACAAGCCATTACTCGAGTGGAACCCGAAAGGGAGGCGGCGAGTCGGTCGTCCAAGGGTGACTTGGAGGAGGTCATGCGAGGAGGAGATGAAAACATGTGGACAGACCTGGAGCAGGTTGAAAAAGTTGTCAGAAAACCGAAGTCAATGGAGGTGCGCAGCTGAAGCCCTATGTTCCTCTAGGAACTAAAGGATACAATAATAATAATACAATAATAATTGTCGATTCGAGCGTCTTCGGAGATAATAGGAACCTAGGTTTAGTTCCTTGACACATACCATGATTTCTACTCATTTGTAGGAGTAAATAAGAAGACAGTTGCAGCGAAGAAAATTTTCTTTTCGACGAAGTCATCATCTAGGCTGTACATTCGTGTATTTATATCAAATGGATGGGAAAGTTCCAGAATAATATCCGGTCAAGGGTCAAATTAATAAAAATAAAAATTGGGAATTAGAATACCATAATCCCTGATTGCATGAACAATTATTCATCACATTAGTTTTTATCCAAACATCCTGTCCATTTTGTTATTTCTACATTTCTAACCCCTAATTGCACAATGTCAGTCGTCTTAGTTATTATAATGCTACTTTGTTTGTTTTATCCATCCCCTGTTTATTATGGCATTCTAATTCCCAATTTTAATTTTTATTAATTTGACCCTTGACCGGATATTATTCTGGAACTTTCCCATCCATTTGATATAAATACACGAATGTACAGCCTAGATGATGACTTCGTCGAAAAGAAAATTTTCTTCGCTGCAACTGTCTTCTTATTTACTCCTATGACACAATGTGTATATTCCGTCATTTGTAGGAGTTTTTTTTTAACATCGAATGACCTTGGCGGCCTGTTTGAATATTTTTGGGCTACCACATTCCATGTACATTTTGCATCTATTTACTCGTATTTTATTGGTATTTACATATCACATTATGCATTCTAATCGTATTATCTACTCCCGGGATTTTATAAAACGTTTTAAACCCAAAAACTTTCATATTTGCAATAAACTCAAGAAAAAGCACCATGGAGGTTGGCAGCGTGCCTTAAAATCTACACCCATACATCACACCACTGTTCCAGTTATCATTAGTACCAACTGCCGGTCCCTGCCTAATAAAATTCTGGATTTTCAGTCTCTGTTGTCTTCTAGTACCTACCACAATACTGGTATTGTCACTCTGCAAGAAACCTGGCTCCATGACTCATACGATGACAATATTGTGTCTCTAAACAATTTCAATGTTTTTCGACAAGACCGTGTTTGTTCCAAGAAAAAGTGTGGTGGAGGTGTTGCAACTTTTATTCACTCAAAATGGTCCATTTCAAACAAAGTTTGTTTCAAATTCTCGAATGACTTCATTGATTGCATCACTGTGAGATGTCGCCCGAAACACCTGTCAAAATACAAATTCATTTATATTTCTAATGTTTATGTCTCTCCTGGCTGTACCATATTGGATTTATCTATGTTCGCCGATGAATTCACCGCTTTTGCTGCAGCTTGTTTCGAGAACTCTTTATCAATAGTAACTGGCGACTTCAATGGAAGCGATTGCTCCTTCCTTATATCACTTGGTCATGACAATATTGTCAACTTTGCCACCCGTCTTGGTAAAAAACTGGATCTAGTATTCATTAATGATGTTGGCATATATGAAGCTCGCAAACGTGCTCCTCTACTTAATTCTGACCACTGCATCATACGTGTACTGCCTAAAATATATTCCAAATCACACAAAGGTGTCCTCTCTCACCTCTACAGTAAAGTTCAACGGAGATGCTACTCAAAAGACAACCTAGACAAGCTCAGATGCATGTTGAAAGACACTAACTGGGACTTATTTACAGAACAAACATTAGATGAAACAATCACAAACACTACCGATTATCTTAAATTCTGTTTCGAAATATGTTGTCCTAAAGAAACATTATTCATTCGATTTGATCGCTTATCTTCGCCATATCTCAAAAAGCTACGTAGAAATAAAGAACTGTTGTTCAAAACTAATGATAAGCCTGGTGTAAAAAAGTTAAACATGCTGATAAAACTGGAAATAAAAAGACTAAGTGTTTTATATAATCAAAGATTTTTGTCATGTAAAACCCCTTCTAATTTATGGAAACTTTTCAAAGAAATTACTAACGGTAAGCGATGTATTTCTGTTCCATCTCTTAATGTTGACACTCTTAATAAATCTTTCATACGCTCTTCTGTTGATACCCTTCCAAATGATACAAATCATATTGACAATAACTTTAGTGGTTTTAATACCCTTGATGTGCTTAAATGTCTCCGGTCTCTTAAGCCTTCTCAAAGCCTTGGTCCTGACGGCATACCTGCCATTGTCCTCAGGAATTGTGCTGATATTTTGTGTTATCCTCTTACTAACATTTTTAATGCCTCTTTTTCCGGTAACGTTCTACCTTTTGCATGGAAAAACATTAAAATTATCCCTATACCAAAACCATCTTCTGGTTCTGATATTAAATTTCGGCCTATTGCAATTACTTCCCCCTTTTTAAAATTGATGGAAAAATTACTTTTACTTCGTCTTGAACCCGCTTTGAAACCTTTTAATGATCCTAAACAATTTGCATACAAACATGGTAGAAGTACCTTGGATGCTGCGGTTGTCTTATATCACAATGTTGTCTCTTGTTTAGACAAAGGTGCTAAATATGTTCGTAGTGCTTTCTTAGACTACACATCTGCTTTTGACTCTGTACCTAGGGGCCTTTTGTTAAATAAGCTATCGTTGACACAAACAGGATCCTGGGCTAAGAGTTGGTTGCATTCCTATTTTTCTGATAGAATGCAGTATACTGTATATAACGGCAAATCTTCTTCTACCTCGCTTACAAAATCCGGTGTTCCACAAGGTGCTGTCCTCTCTCCTTTTCTTTTTTCTTTCTTCCTACATGACCTACCTCATTCAAACGAAACTAACTTTGTCAAATATGCAGATGATCTGACTGTATCACTGCCTATCACTTCCGAGTCTGACAGCTCCAAACTTAATAGCTTTCTGTTGGACATCAACAACTGGTCCAAGTCAAATGGTCTTATATTAAATCCTTCCAAATGTCAGGTGCTTGACTTTACTTTCAAGCATCGACGTGACTTACTTGAACTAGTTAACTCTCATGATCCCTGTAGCATAGATGGCACGGAAATTGAAACCAAATCAAGTATTAAATACCTTGGACTAGTTTTTTCCTCTGACCTTTCATGGTCATCCCATATCTTATCTATCTCTAAGAAAATGTTTCGTCTTACCTTCTACATTAAAAAGTTAAGACAATCAGGTATCAACCAACCTTTAGTTTTGCAATTTTTAAACTCCTGTATTTTACCTATTGTACTCTACTGCTCTCCATTAATCTTTCCTGGGCTTCTCAAAAAAGATTATATCATATTACGAAGAGTATTAAATGCTGTGAGTAGAGCTTGTGGTCTGCCACTGCATGAGCTCGCTAATACTATAGTCGAGAGGCATATAAATTCCTGTACGAAATGGGCAAAGGCTATAATGTCAGACCCTCTGCACCCCCTTTATTCACACCTGTCCCCTTGTATCTCATCAGGTAGGACGAGAAGTCAATATAAAAAGATATATGCTCGTACTACTAAGTATAGAAATTCTACAATACCCTATTTAGCGCGTACTTTATGTGACGAAGACTCTGTTAGACGTGAAACTTACAAGTTACTATGTAATTAGCACAGTGAATCGACCCTTTTATCGTTCATCTTTCTGTATTTTATGGTGTCACACTTTCTATCGTTTAAATCGTTACTCTGCTATTTTATATTAGTTGGTATTACTATTATTACTACAATTTTGTACTTTATACATATTTTTCTCCGTATGGCACACAGTATTTTGCTACGTAGCTGCTACAACAATCGTTTTATTACTATTATGTATTGTGTATTTTTAATTTTTTTTGTCGTTTTTGAGTAAATTAGATGCAATATTGTACTGAATGCTGAAAATTCCTTGCTGTATCATGAGTACTGTTTTTGGAATAAAGCAATTATTATTATTATTATGCTTTACAAGAATTAGCTGTTGGATGTTAACTAATGATACCTTGACGATCAAATCTTTAACGTTGAATTTCAGTAGTGCAGATAATGAATCATGTCATGGCATTCATGAATGACATTTACAATCACCAAAGTGAAGCTGAAGGCTAATCACTATTAATATAGTTATTATTTTAAACATCTCATATCAAAATATTTCAATTTCAAGTAAAAATTATGAGTATCTGATATGGAAGCTAACAGTTACATTAGTCATTACTTAGTCGTTGTTTAGTGTCCTTCCTTCTAAATTTAAAGTGATATCAAATAAGCGCATTTTTTGAATATAAAATATCTAGTCTGTTTTAAAATATTCATACTATTTAAAAAAACATGAACTTACCCAAATTGAACTTTTGGCACTGCTGAATCAATCTTGAAAAAATTTGGCGAATATTCTACAGCACCGTAGGATTTATCACCTGGTTTCATTGGATTGACGATACCATTAGTCTGGTCAATATCATCACCTTCACATTTAACAGCAAATATAAGCAAAAAAGTAGGAGTAATGATGATTTTATTTTTATGAACTATTTAGTAATTTTTTTTTATTTATAATTTATTTATTTTTATTGTATTCCTTCGCATTCTCAGTGGAACAGATGGCTTCAAGCTAGAGCTTTGAAACCTCGATAGCAGTTGTTATTTTGGTTTTGTAGGGTGCAGTGGTTGCTAGCTTCACACGCAAACTTCTTTTTCTTTATTGGCCTTACTACCGACTCAAAGAGGTTTAACAATGCATCGGTTAGGGATCGAACCCCAGGCCATGTGAGACATGATGGACAAGCGTTCTGCGGCTGAACCACTGATGCAGTAGCTATTAAGCCTTTACTCGGATATCTTCAGGAGTGCGTACCTGTGAAGTTGTTCACTGGGGCTTGAATCCAAGTTATAAAATGAACTTGTATACCTCTAAGCCACTGTGACTTGCTGAAAAAAACCGACTTGTAAAGCGAAAGAATGAATCGATGTGAAGCTGTACCTATTGAAAAAGCTAGGAGGTGTGTTACGCATGTCAGGTCGTCACCTTTCTCAATGAAAGATGTTAGTTGATATATTGTAACAACAGGGCCAGGAAACAGATCGTTTATTAAAGAAATCAACACATTTATAGATTTTCATGTAAATTATGACAGATTATTGTAAGCAAATAAACACAGTCTTCTGATTGGTGGTTTCTCGCTGAACGTTAATCTTTCATCTCTCTTTGACCGTTTCTTTAAGTTCAGATTATCTATCTGCAAATTGTATCCGCCTACAAAAAGTCTGCTCTGGTTGATTGTTGAGTCAGTCTTTGTTCTCGTTTTTTCTCATGACGAATACTGGAACGTGAACATTGTCGTAAAATACTGTCTACCACTTTTGGCTAGCAGCCATCTCTCACTACAATATGACTAAGTTAGAAGTGGTTAGACCTAAACATGACGTCAGTGAAGATCGTGACTACTACTGCTAGATGCGAACTGTCTAGTTAAGGTCCTTGAGATGCTGAGAACCTATGAATGGAAACTACTGATAGTTGTGGTTGAAAATGGTTATCAATAGCCTAGATGCATTCACTCCAAGTGATCTTCCAGATTTACTGAATTCTCAGTTTTCTTCATATATTTATTATTGCTCAGTCAGTGAGATATATAAGCTGGAAGAAGAGTTTTCAAGAGACTTCAAATATACCTTCCTGATAAATATCAATAAGGAGACTCAGTACTTACAGTTAGTGTAGTATTAACATACATAAAACAAAAAAAGTACCCTATAGCATATACCGATTTTGTATCATTTTGCCTGCTGATCATAACCCATACATGAATACACTGTATCCAAGATACTGACATCGACTGCTACTGAGATAAACGATTTCCGCGCACTAGTCACTTATCCAGACGGAGAGAGTTACTCGTCACCTGAATAGTTTGCTCGTAAAGGTTTTGATCTCACAGTGGGCATCATTCTCAGGGAGCAAGAACAGGTAACTTGCTGACTGTATGTCGATCAACTCTGATATCCTTTAAATCAAAGGAGAAATCATCTTTCACTTCGTTGAATATTAAGTTGAACGAAGACTTTTGTAAAAATATAAAATAAGCTCAGTGTGAATAAATCGACCAACACATTCTTTGCTTTGAAATGCTAAAGATTATGTTTGTTGGTGTCTACAATAGTTCTGTTGCGTATTCCCCCAGGTGACGATATTATAACTGAGCTAAAGATTTGTTTATAACAAAACATATGTCAGAATTTAACTGATGGATGGTGACTTACAGTGGAATCCAAGATGCACATTTCATCCTATTTGGGACTCGTCAGCTGGGTGTACCTACGTTCCTCAGTGAAGCAGTGATGTTCCCACTGAGGCGCCAAAGTGTTATCCACTAGACCATTTGCTCCACATAAAAGCCACCTCTCATCCAACGGGTCATATTAATTATTTAATTGAACTTTAGATTTTCCCGTCGACTGATTGGATCGAAGTGCTCGGTCTCAAGTACCTCCGGTTGACGAGTCCCAAATAGGACGAAACGCACATCCTGGATTCCATTGCTGGTCACCATCCACCAGTTAAATTCTAATTACACGCCCGGACATCGTCGAGGCATCTGCAGTTAGAGAAGCCGACATGTCTACCTGAGACCGAGTACCTCAGTCCAATCAATCGATGCGAAAATCTAAAATTTAATTATATTAAACATATATATATACTTATAGTTAAACATACCCCTTCTTTTGTGTGTGAAACCGCAATTGAACGTATACTCTTTGTCACAATAAGCGCTTCGTTGATGTATTCCATCGAATATACACCGTTTTCCACTTGAATAAACATTAGAATACATTAACCATTCTGAACTAATTCCATGATATTTTGATTCTGTGAAAAAATGTATCAATTTTAATTCAATCAAATCAAAATTAAATAACCTGGAAAAGTTCTCAAATGACTCGATAATTCTGGCCATATATTTTCATCATTTCTTGTCTCATCTTTATACGCTTCAATATGACGCAGTTTTGATGACCAGTCAAGACCATAACTAATTTTGTTTTTGTTTTTTATTAAATTCTGGTTAATTTTCTTTTAGAAAACATTATTACTCAGAATACACTGGATCCAGTGCTGTGCAATGCGGTTTCCAAGCCAAATCATCCTTTATACAATATCCATGAGGTATAATTCTTTTCGATGGGGTGAATTTCACTTCTTCTTCACTGCATTTATTAATCCCAGGATAATGTCTCATTTAGTAGTAAACTAGTAGAGTTTTTTTTTCTTAAATTTAAAAATACCCCCTCACAGTCAATCAATCAATCAATGATTAAGGTCATATCCAATAACAACTAGTTTATGGTTTATTTTTAAAACAGTATATAAATAATAATCATTGAATCAATAAAGTACTTTCATAATGCAGTTATTGATTCAACCAATTATCATTAAGCAATGATTGTAAGCTGATTTTGTATCAAATTTTGTTTTAAAACAGTGGTAACTGTGTGCAAGGTGTAAAGTTTTTTTCAGAATAAATTTTTAATTATTTAGTCTTATGGCTGTGAATAAATTGAAGACAATTGCTGACAATAGGAGGCGAAAACTACAATAAATAAATGAAGAGTTCCAAATTGATATGTATCCATAAATACATATATATATATATATATATATGTGTGTATGGTGGTCTCTCTTTCTGTTGCTCTCTTAGTCTGTGATCAATTCACTTTGATGAACCTGTCTCCTTTAACAACGTATATTCTCCTTATATTATATATAATATGAGTGTTTGTTGACAGTCCGTTGCTTGGTGACATATATCCATATATGGTGGTTGTTGACATGTCTGTTATATTTTGCTATGTATATATGGATCGATACTTCATTATAATTAGCCATTCATGTTAAGACTGTCTATTGGTTTTTTTCACACACTTGTCTGAACATTCATATATATTTCGCTCTCACAATTTGTGTGACTGACTTACTTACTTACTTTGGTGTGATACCACTTTTGCATTCTCCTTGTGTTTGGAAAATAGAAGTATCATCGCAAACCTGGTGGTCTTCTGATTTCCGCCTTCTTGCGTCAGGACTATTAAATTCTCGACCAGTACATAGAAATAATTTGGCGACGAGTATATAACACAAACTAGGATGAAACATCTGTTCAGTGCTTTCAGGTTTTGCAGTGGTTCTCCAACCGATATCACCTCATGATGAAATCCTGTAACCAATCAGTCAAATCACTAAAAACCAATACTTAAATAAAATTTTCTATAGTTGGTTTGTAAGGATTATATATGCTTTTACGAGTTTGTTCACGGATCGATATCAGTTAGAGAACCAGTGAAAACCAGCCACAGGGAGTACTGGACAGCCAGCTGTTTCATCCTAGTTTGAGAATCATCGCCAGTACGCACCCATCTCAGGAGATTCGAAGTCAGGATCTTCTGGTTACAAGGTAAGCTCGTATACCATTCAGCCACTGGGATCCGACCCCATTCAATGGCCAGTGAGCCCATGAATCCTAACTTCCACCACTTCGTGATTTGCCACGACTGGCACCAACCAACATCACCGGTGGAACATCCATCCTCACACACTTGACTGGCCTATGTTAATCCTTGCGATATATATCTCTGCAGAGATCTAATTTCTCTTTGAAAGCATTCACCGGTCGAGCTGTTACTACTGAATCAGGTAAAGAGTTCCAGTCGTTGACCACTCTGTGAGAGAATCTAAACTCCAAACGTATTTTATTCAACCTCGGTTTGAGCACGTCTTTGTGCTGACCTCGTAAAAGTATCCTAGAGTCACGTTGACATAAAGAGGTAATAGAAGATTGGCCGTATAAAACTTGTAGCAAGGCTGTTCAGTTACATTAGAATGAATTTGTCCAACATTTACAGCGAAATTCTTTCTTTTCTTCATGGTTATATCACTTTGACATGCTGTACTAGAATGGGATAACAGTACAAGGCACGTTTCTAGATTATTCACCGAATACATTAGAATTAATATATGTCCAAATTCTAGTTCACTGATGACCCGCTGAATTTTAATGACATAACAACTTGTCTTATCCCATCTCCCTCAGAATGCCGTTATTCAATCCATGAATTCGCCAGTTCTGATCCCAAGATATTCACAATCAACTAGCAAAGCTTAAGGGACACCTAATAATTTCCATTCTGACGTCGTCGCATTTATCTTTTTGATCAATATGCAACGGATTAATTTCAGTGTGGACTAAGTCATGCCAAACGATGAATCACTGTAGTTTGTAGTTGTAAATTTAAAAAATTTTGTGTAACTGCTGAACCGTGTAGTATAGCGACTACGTAACCAGTATTTTCCAACTAATGACCATTTCCAGCATAGACTGGTTGCCAGTAATGTCAACCAGTTAACTCCATGATTTGAAAGCATATATATATTCAATTAAGTACAAGATATAGATGAGCTACCCTGGCAGTGAACTGATCAACAGATTGTTGCCCGACAGATATGCAGAATGGACTGGAAATGAATTGGACATATGGTAAGGACGCCTCTCTCTCTCTGTCCCTATGTTTTATCACACACCATTTCGTTGGGTTGCACGACAATGTGAAGCAATATTTTGGTCATCTAAAGGCGAAATGGAGATCTTAGAGCCAGCAGAACGTTACTGGAAAGACTTGAGTGAGTGGTGATGTGGTGATAAAGCCCTATGTTCCACTCGGAAACAAAACTCTATATATAGTAGCTTTTATTCTAGATATGATAGAGAAGATTTGTAGCTCAAGTGGATGATTATGATGTGATTGTGTTCTCTGAGCTGGATAGATAATTTGCGAAAATTTCATCACCCTACTGGGTGACATATTCAGCACATACTTCAATTTAGTGAAGTGAGCTTTCAGATTTTTCCACGAGTTTATTAGTCATCTCTCCTGGTCGTTGACGTTGGACGTTGTCATTGGTTGTTTTTGTGTGTTTTCACACCTTCTAGATTACTTGTGGTATTGGAACTGATTGTTTCTTTGACTTGAACTTTGACCCTTTGTGTGTGTGAGGTTTCTTTCTTATCGGTCGATAACTTTTGTCTATCTCGATGTGTCTATTGACTGAGGATTCACTGGAATACCAGGAGGGCTTCTAAGAATTCTCTTGCATTCTTGTTGTTTCTTCTGTCTAATATTTGAACGTTAGTTGTCCCAGTCGAATTGATGTCCGTGGTTGTCTGTATGCAGCGATATGGGCGGGGGAGTGGACATTATATCTAAGCTAGTCGTCAAAAGACATGATATCCACTCCCTCGTTCATACCACTACATACAGAAAACCACGGACATCAATTCGACTGGGACAACTAACGTTCAAATATTAGACAGAAGAAACAACAAGAATGCAAGAGAATTCTTAGAAGCCCTCCTGGTATTCCAGTGAATCCTCAGTCAATAGACACATCGAGATAGACAAAAGTTATCGACCGATAAGAAAGAAACCTCACACACACAAAGGGTCAAAGTTCAAGTCAAAGAAACAATCAGTTCCAATACCACAAGTAATCTAGAAGGTGTGAAAACACACAAAAACAACCAATGACAACGTCCAACGTCACCGACCAGGAGAGATGACTAATAAACTCGTGGAAAAATCTGAAAGCTCACTTCACTAAATTGAAGTATGTGCTGAATATGTCACCCAGTAGGGTGATGAAAGTTTCGTAAATTATCTATCCAGCTCAGGGAACACAACCACATCTAAAGCTTTTATTCTAGGTAGTCTTTAAATAATGTACATAATTATCAGTAGAATTTATTACAGAATATTTTCTCTTCCTCCAGGATCTTCAGATAAAGTATTAATTGATAATGGATCGTGTGACACAATTCTACCTGATTCGAAGCTCAAACCAATCGTTATGATATCGCTTCCTTTTAGAAATATACGAAATTTTGTTGCATGTCAATCGTAAAACGTTCAGGAGTACATTCTATGAACCAAAGGCGCAATCGAGGAACAGTTATCTCGTGTGCTGAGATAGACTGATCATTTGGGGATAATACTTTTTCTCATGCTTAGCAGGAACTTGCGAATCAGCAGGTTGTAAATGTTTTAAATACTCGCCAGAGTAAAGAATACTATTCGAGATCATATTTTCACTAGATTTAGACAAATCGAATAAGAGTAAATATATGCAATTCATTGATGGAGGTTTTTCGGTAGCCAGAGTCTGAAGCATACCACCGATTTCGCCAAATTTATATGTATATGTAGTATACAGATGAGAAGTTCTATTGAATCGTGTGGGTTCACTACCTTCGCACTTGTTAGCTGTTAGCGGCAATTCCATAAAAAAGATCAAACAAAACATCATGCCGGGTGGCAAAGAGCCATAAAAATACCCCTATTCAATTCATGACTGTTCCCGCAATTATGAGTACTAATTGTCGCTCCCTGCCAGCTAAAATTAACTGTCTTCAATCACTCGTGTCTTCCATCTTATATCGTAATACTGGGATCATATCACTTCAAGAAATATGGCTACATAATCTACATGATTTCAATCTAGTGTATCTAAATGATTTCAAATTATTCAGACAAGATCGGTGTAGTTCCAGCAAGAAACGCGGTGGCGGTGTCGCCATCTTGATCAATTCACAATGGTGTACGTCTAATAATGTATGTTTCAAATTCTCTAGTGGTAATATTGACTGCCTCACCGTTAAGTGTCGACCTAAACATTTGTCAAAATATAACTACATATACATCTCGAACATTTATATTGCTCCTGGATGCAACTCCACAGGATTATCTTTATTTGCGGATGAATTTACCTCTCTTGCTGCCACCTCCTTCGGAAACTCCTTGTCTATAGTTACTGGAGATTTCAATTCTAGTGACCACAGCTTCCTTATTTCACTTGGACACGATAACATTGTCAACTTCCGGACTCGACTGGATAATACTCTTGATCTTG